TGTTCTGGCTTCAACATTTCTCTCACAAAATTGAAGAGTGGCAGAAGCGTGTTCTAATTGTTATGTGGGCTTGTTGGCGCACTAAACACACACTGTGCGGCGCTTTTCCTGGGCTGTGCCTGCCTCAACATTTATGGGAGGACCTTACCAGTGCGGAAGGGGGGGAACTAATTGTAATATGGCTTTCTGGCTGCGCTATGGTACACCCTGCGCAGTGTTTTCCTTTCATGTTCCGGCTTCAACATTTCTCTTACGAGCTTCAATAGTCGGAGAAGAAGGTTGTAATTGTGATATGGACTTGTGGGCACACTAAAATACATTCCGTGTAGTGTTTTTCCCAGGTTCCAGTGGCCTTAAACATATCTGGAAGAGAGAGGGGCTTCAGAGCTTTACCAGATACATGTCGCTGTAGAGGTTTAATTGTAAGGTTGCCATTTGTTTGCACTATACAGTGTGTGTTGCGCGTGTTTTTTTGTGGAAAGCATTGCTCCAACAATTTATATATATAAGAAGTACAGGTCGTGCAAGGATGTCTAGGGTAGAATTGTAATCTCCAGTGGCAGGGACACCATGTTAGTTTAGACAAGAGCATCGAGTCCTCCACTTTATCTCCCTTTCCCTTTCGGTTGTTCTAACTTTCGGTTGATCTCGGTTGAGCCATTTGTGCTGCACGAAAGCAAAGCGAGAATCTCCGGATTAAGTTCGATCTTGAGCTCAAGATGCCCAAGTTCATGTTCCAAAGGCATGTGGAAACTGTCGAAGCAGAGAGGTTCAAAGCTATTACAAAACACACTCGTAAAACGTCGACAAGGGGGGGGGAAATTGTAATTTGCTCTGTGTGGTACCCACCCATAGATTCTTACAATTTCCACCCCCCCCTCCTTTCAAAGTCTCCAGAAGTAGGCCAAGACCTCTTTGAGGGGGGGGTCAAAAAAAGTAACATCCTCACATAGGCTACCTCAACCCTAGATCTTACAATTTTCACCCCCCCCTATAGGGCTATATAATGCTATTGTTGCGCAATCAAAAAATGTAAGTTACAATTTTGACCCTTTTCGGGGGGGTCAAGCACCGCAAGGGGGTGGTGATGCCTCCACACTATTAGCGATGGCCTTCAACCAAATAGCGATGGCCTCCAACCTACTAGCGATGGCCTCCAACCTACTAGCAATGGCCTCCACACTACTAGCGATGGCCTCCAACCTAATAGCGATGGGCTCCAACCTACTAGCAATGCCCCCCACACTACTAGCGATGGCCTCCAACCTAATAGCGATGGCCTCCAACCTACTAGAAATGGCCTCCACGCTACTAGCGATGGCCTCCAACCTAATAGCGATGGCCTCCAACCTAATAGCGATGGCCTCCAACCTACTAGCAATGGCCTCCACACTACTAGTGATGGCCTCCAACCTAATAGCGATGGCCTCCAACCTACTAGAAATGGCCTCCACGCTACTAGCAATGGCCTCCAACCTAATAGCGATGGCCTCCAACCTAGTAGCGATGGCATCCAACCTAATGGCGATGGCCTCCAACCTAAAAGCGCTGGCCTCCAACCTACTAGCAATGGCCTCCACACTACTAGCGATGGCCTCCAACCTAATAGCCATGGCCTCCAGCCTACTAGCAATGGCCTCCACACTATTAGCGATGGCCGCCAACCTAATAGCGATGGCCTCCAACCTACTAGCGATGGCCTCCAACCTACCAGCAATGGCCTCCACACTACTAGCGATGGCATCCAGCCTTTTAATAACGATGGCCTCCACACTACGAGCGATGTCATCCAGCCTAATAGCGATGGCCTCCAACCTACTAGCAATGGCCTCCACACTACTAGAGATGGCCTCCAACCTAATAGCGATGGCCGATGGCCTCCAACCTAATAGCGCTGGCCTCTAGCGATGGCCTCCAAACTACTAGGCCTCCACACTACTAGCGATGGCCTCCATGGCCTCCAAACTACTAGCAATGGCCTCCAACCTACTAGCAATGGCCTCCACACTACTAGTGATGGCCTCCAACCTACTAGCAATGGCCTCCACACTACTAGCGATGGC